TCGCTGTTCGAGGGGCAGAGTCCACTCCCTGCTTTCCCAGAGGGCACTGAGCTTGGGGCACTTGGGGAGCCTGGGGCAGACCCTGCTGTTGAGAACGGACCTGCTGTGTGTCTTTGGGCTTCATTTCAGCTCTCTGGTCCCACGTTCCCCACTGGGGGCGCAATGGGAACCACTCTGTTTTCAGTAGGGGATTGTTGGGAAGATCAACGAGAAAAACTTTGGGAATATCTTTGAGGAGCTGGAAAGCCTGGGCATTCACTCTTAAACTGGGTCCAGTAGGCCCACCCCTTACTTTTCTACTGTAAATTTGTACTTTAACATAATAGTACCCAGCTGTACATTTCAGTACCTCCCCCTGAGAGACACAGGAAGCAATCTATGTGTCTACCCACTCGGTATGACATGTGCATGTGCGCAAAAGTGACAAAATGAGATTTTTATCCACCCTATACTCCATGTAATTATGTTTTGCTTATGTTTACCTGAGCATCACAGAGGGCCCAACAGACCCACATCACTCCAGGATTTGTTTTAAAAAGTTTTCTTTTGATTTTTTTCTAGAAGAAGGAAGCCAATTCAGTACAATGGCACATGAAAAACCAGATTTGCAAGATTTGGAGAAGGTCAAAAGTGAATCCTCAGATCACTCATGCAGGAGTGATGAAGATGATCCATTATAGTAAAATACATGCTTTTGGGCTGGGGATGTGGCTCAGTGGTAGGTTCTTACCTTGCATGCACAAGGCCCTGGATTTGATCCCCACCACTGCAAAATCCAAAACCAAACTCCCCCCGAAAACATGCTCCCATCACAGCAGGGTGGTGTGGGTGGATAACGATGGTGACTCTGACACCGCCCGTGTGAGCCAAGGTTCCCGCGACAGCGAAGTGGAGCAAGAACCCGCCGAGAGACACAGGGGACTCAGACTCCTTGATTCGGATGACAAAGAAAGCAGCGCTGTGAGCACATATCTGACTAGTCGAAATGTTGTGAAACGGCACACAACCAGGTGGAAGGACCCAGTGTCAGAACTAGGTCTGAAAATACAGTGAGGGTCTTGGCAGGGGAAGAAGGTATCCCACGGAAGGCCAGCACTGCCATTCAGTGTTGGAAACCGTAACAGACAAAATGCTACAAGATGCTGTGACATGCACAAAGGCCGAAGGGCAGTAAAATGTTCTGTGCGTACCTAGAGCCATATTAAAAGTGTATTTATTACGACACCTCACTAGCTGAACTGAAGGCATTCACAGGTCTGCCGGACTTAGCAGGGATTTCTTACGGTGATCACAGGAATGTGATCAGCAGTGGATCAGAATATGGCGTTAAAATTTATGCCCTTGTAGGTGTGAAGACTTGTTATGCTTTTAATTTAGACATTTATCCTGGAACTCAGCCTTTGGGTCCTTATTCACATAGTAATAAACCGAATGACGCTGTGAACGGACTTGTTCCCATCTCTCAATCTAATCGGAGTGGGACACTTGGCAACTGGCTTCTCAGTTTCCAACTGATGCTACATTTGCTAACAGAGCACAAGTTGACGAGTGCAGGAAGTGTACATAGGAACAAAGAACCCAGACAATATAGTTCAAGGCTGCCTGAACTACGTAGGGAAACTTAAAAAAAAAAAGAAGAAAAAAGGGATTCCAAAACTGATATACAGATTTAACACAGTCCCAATCAAAATACTAACAATGACCTTCATAGCAATTTAAAACACAATTCTAAAATTCATATAGAACCAGAAGAGACCCAGGATAGCAAAAGCAATCCAGGGTAAGCGTATAGCAGGAGCCATCACAATCCTAGATTTGAAGTTATCCTACAAAGCAACAGGGATGAAAACAGCATGACTCTGGAGGCTGAGGCAGGAGGATTGCCTCAAGTTCGAGGCCAGCCTGGGCTACATAGTGAGTTCAAAGCCATTCTGGACTACACAGTAAGACCCTGTCTCAAAAAAACGAAAAAAGAAAAAAAGAAAAGAAAACAGCATGGTGCTGGCACAAAAACAGACATGGAGATCAACGGAACAGAAAAGAGGACAGAGAAACAACTGCAAGTACTTTCAGTTATTTAATCTGTGATGAAAGGGCCAAAAATGTGCACTGGAGGAAAGATAATCTCTTCAGCAAATGGCGCTGGGAAAACTGGCTGTCCACATGCAGAAGGCTGAATCTAGATGGATGTCTCTCACCATGTACTAAAATAAAATAAAAATAGATCAAAGATCTAAATGTTAAAACAGAAGCACTTAACCTGCTGGAAGACAACATAGGCAAAACTCTTGAGGTACAAGGCAGAGGTAAGGATTTTTGAACAGAACCCCAATTGCATGAGATATAGCACCAAAAATCAAGAAGTGGTATCAGATCAAGTCAGAAACCTTCTGCATAGCCGAGGAAGCCGCCAACAGAGCGAAGAGACAACCTACAGAATGGGAAACAGTTTTGCCAGCCGTTCCTGCAAAGGACTCATATATAGAATACACAAAGAAGTAACCCGCCCAAGTGAAAGACCCAATCAAAAAATGGGCAAGTGAAATGAATAGACAATTCTCAGAAAAAGTACAAATGGCCAATAGATACGTGAAGAAACGTTCAAATACAGAAGTCATTAGAGAGATGCAAATTAAGACAACGCTGGATTCCATCTCATCCCAGACAGAATGGCCATCACCAAGAAGATAAACAATAACTAACGCTGACGAGGCTGCAGGGGGAAAGGAACACCTCTACACTGCTGGTGGGCATGTAGAACTGGCACAGCCACTGTGGAAGTCAGTGTGGAGATTCCTCAGAAGACTAAAACTAGAAATTCCACTTGACCCAGCCGTTTCCCTGCTCAGTATCTCCCTAAGAGAGTTAGAGACACCCTAACACAGTGACACACGTGTACTCATGTCTGTAGCAGCATGATTCATAGCAGCTAAATCTTGGAAGCAGCCTGTGTGTCCACCAGTAGATGGATGGATAAAGAGAACGTGGTATTTACACACAGTGAAGTACTACTTGGCCATAAAGAAGGATAAATGAGTCATTTGTAGGAAAATGGGTGCATCTTTTGTTTGTTTTTTTGTTTTTTTTTTCTGGTACTGGGGATTGAACTCACAACCTTGTGCTTGCTGGGCAGGCGCTGTGCCACTGAGCTGAATTCCCAGCCCCTGGATGCATCTTAAGACCATAACATTAGTATAATAAATCAGGCACAAGAGCTTAAACATCACATGGTTTCTCTTATATGAGAAACCTAAAATAGAAGTAAAGAGAAAACAAAGGACAGATAATGGGCAGTAGGGAGACAGATCTTGCTCAGATGGGAAGATCAAGAGGTGCAGGGAGGGGCAGGAAGGAGGGGGAAAGGGGGTGAGAAAGAATTCAGAGTTGTTCTGTGCCTGCACCCTCTCCCCACAAGGGGTGTGATCCCCATGGCTGCAGACAGGTGCGAATAAAAGAGAAAAACTGAAAGAAAAAAGTGAAGACTATAGCAAAAGGCAGCAGGGGAGTGGGGCTCAGAGTACACCTCCACACAAAGGCCCAGGTGCAACCCCTAGTCCAAAAACAAAAACAAGCAAACAGATAAAAAATTACCCCCTCCCGAAAAACCAAAACAAAAACGCATGCAAAAACCCAATCAGATACAACCACATCCACCTGGATGGCTAGAGTGAAAATGTTTCAGGAGCAGCCCTGCCGAGGAGGGGATGGAGCCTGGGCTTCGCGGGTGGGAAGTGAAGTGGGGCAGCCACCGTGCACACGGGGCTCCTCAGGAAGTTAACGGGGCCATTGTACGACCCAGCAGCCCGGTCCTGGGTGTGCGCCCCACAGCGTCAAACAGACACTCAGCGTTCACGTGCAAATGCTCATAGCAGCGTCAACCACGGTCGCCAGCAGGTGAGACAAGCTAAGCGCTCGTCAACAAATTAACGGAGAGATAAATGTGATCTATTCATATAATGAAATATGAGTAAAATGTATGAATTTCTGGTATGTATGGTACATTATGGTTTTTTTGAGACAGTGTCTTGCTGTGTAGTTCAGACTAGCCTTGAACTCACTGTGTAGCCCAGGCTGGCCTCAAATTCATGGCTATCCTGTCTCAGCCTCCTGAGTGCTGGGACATGATTTTTAATTTAGCCAGACCCAAAAGGATGAACAGTGTATGATTCCACTGAGGTACCTAAGTTAGGCAAACTGATAGAGACAGAAAGTAGCTGGGAGTTACCAAGGGCTGAGGAAGAAGTTAAACTGTTTAATGACTACAGACTTTTGTGTGGGTTGGTGAAATTTTTAGAAATAGTAATGATAGTTAAGCAAAATTGTAAGTCTAATTATCTGCACCGAACTGTGCCATTGATTGATTGATTTTTTTTTTTTTGAGACAAGGTCTCACTAAGTAGTTTAGGCTAGTCTGGAACTTACTATGTAGCCCAGGCTGGCCTGAAACTAGTGGTGATGATTCTCCTGCCTCAGCCTCTTGAGCACTGTGATTACAGGCATGTGCCATCATGTTTGACTTGAACTGTGCATTTTATTTTATTTTATTTCATCTTATCTTATTTTATTTTTTTGAGATAGGGTCTTGCTATGTAGTTCAGGCTGGACTTGAACTCACTATGTAGCCCAGGATGGCTTTCAACTTGTGGCAATCCTCCTGCCTCAGCCTCCCGAGTGCTGAGACTATAGGTGTGTACCACCATGTCCAGTTACTGCATTTTAAAAGAGCAAATAAAAATGGTTAAAATGACATATCTTATGTTACATGTATTTTACCATGCCTCCAGACAAAAATAAAAATAAAAAAGGAATAGGGTAGGGGGTGTGTAGTTCATGGTAGAACACAGGCTTAGCATGCATGAGAACCTGGGTTCAATCCCCAGGACCAGGAGAAAAGGAAAAAAAATACTGATGCCTACCTCACCTTGGATAAATCTCAAAAATATTATGCTAAATAACAAATCAGACCCCAAAGATCATATATAGATGGTAACAAAGTTTATTTGAAAAAGTAGAAGTGAAGCGTGAGGGAGAAGACCGAGTCCAAGAGGAAAAGGCAAGGTAAAGTGCACCCTGGGGACGCAGCGCGGGCTGTCGCGGGGAAAGCCCTGACAGCAAGCTCTTCTCCGTGTCTGTGTCCTTTTTGCCACCCAAGTCTGGAGGAAACCCATGGGACTTCCACATCCGGGTCCCGAGAGGCGGTGCTGGGCTCCCATGCCGCAGGCTGGGTCAGTCTAGACCATGCTATGGAAAATCTGCTCCAGTTCTTGTGAGAAGCCCACATGCAGAGTTTGGGAACTGTTCTGCACATCTTGTAATTAACAAGTCACCCCTACTTCTCAGCCAGCTTTGCAACACCCTAATTTCCTTTCTCTTGGAGAGATACAAATCCCCATAACCCTTAATGGGGTGCTGAGGGGTGGAGATCTCTGTCTATAGCTCCTTCAAACTTCGAGGCACTGTCGGCCCTACCTGCTGAGGATCACGTGCTCTCCAGCTGCCCTGGGGTGCTGCGGCTCCCTGGTTCGCTGAAGAAGGAAAACCTGTCAGGAAATGAGCAAAGGGTTAATGATCACTGAGCTCCCTGTTTGACAGAAGAAAAAAACTTCACTCTTCGCCCCAATATGAAGAGCAGGTCAGATTTCCACATTTCCTATAGCCGCACTGGAATCTCGCTCTTTGAAGAGAAATCTCATCTCCCAGAGCTCACAGAAGTAGCTTTCTCCTTTTGGGTGGCCTTGTTCTTCAGACAGTTCAGGGGGGGCTGGCTTTATTTTAGAAAGATGAATCCTATTGCTTATCCCCTGCACCTTTACTGCAGTGGATGTGCAAAGGATCACTACAGAAGGGCCTTTCCGATTCGGCTTTAAGTGGCCAGTGGGGGTCCCCTCGCTCCAAGTTTTCACAAGCACGGCCCCCGGGGGAGACGCTAGGCGGTCCCTCTGGGCCAGAGCTGGGAGGACTGTTCCCACACATCTGGACGGCCTGTGGCACTTGGCCCAGATTGGTGAGATACTGTAAGAGTGGTCTCTGGGTCTGCCGGCATGTCGGAAGAGAGAAACAGCTCCCACGTAACGTCTCAAATGGACTCAAACTTAGCCCAGTTTTGGACGCGTTGTGAATCCTCATGGGCACTCTCGGTAGCGGTCGGAGCCAGGACTCAGATGTCTCTTGGCAAGTTTTGCCGGAACTCGCTTTGGGGGTCTGGCTGGCTCCCTCTACCTTCCCAGGAGCCTGAGACCACCAGCTGGAGTGGAGGTGTTTTCTTCCTGAGATCTTTGCCACCACCTGAGTTATTTGGGAGGTAAAAGGAAGTCCACCGTCACTCTCGAGAGAGTGGGCTAGGCCAAATCTGGGGGAGATTTCCTTAAGAAGCACCTTGACTCTGTAGCCTTTTAGGAACAGATAGGAAAGGCTTCAGTCCGGCCTGCAAAGGGGTCACTCAGGACCGACATTTGTTTCAACCCTCCACCCGGTGGCAGTGGGTGAAGCATCGTTGCCAGGCCTCCCCGGGTGTGCCCCTCTCCCCTGGACAGGTTCGGACACGGCAGGTGATTCGGGCTGGCCGGGGTTATTGTAGGCAGGGAGTGGGCTAAGCCTTGTGCTAGTCCCAGCCCTGTGAAAACTCAGGGGACTGTTTCCAAGGTAGCATCTCTTCCCATTTGAAAGAATCACGCGGTGTTTTTACGCCTTCCACTGTGTCCCCTGGGGAGGGGTCAGTTTGTTTTCTGAACACCACCAGAGTCGCTTTTGAACTCCCCCTGTCCTAAGGCTCGTCTTCTGGCGGGGGGAGACTGGTTTTAATGGGTGCTCAAGGCTGCCCTGGGTGCTTCCCCACCAGCGTTTTGATTTCCCAAGGAGACTTTGCATGACTGCAGCCTGCCTGGAAGGTGGACTGCCTCCAAGAGTTGTAGTTTATTGCCGGTGTTTTACAGATGACTGACAAAGCTGCTTCCGGCGCTGAATCCCACCGCCTCAGGGCTTTGGAGGGGCCGGTGGCTGATGTCCTGCCTGCTTGCACGGGTCTGGGAGATGACTCGTTCACAAGTGTGGCTGACTTCCGGGCCTGGAGGCATCAAAGAAGCAGAGTTAATAATGGTTCCAGATTTTGTAATAACCTCAGAGGTGTCTAAGAGCACGGCCTGAAGTGAGCCATTCCTCTGTTAACCGCAAGCACCCTTTTGTGTCTGGAATAGCCCTGACTTGCTGGGGAATCAGGGCTTCTAGTCTCTGTCCCAAAGTTAACTTTGCAGCTTCCTCTATTTGTACCGCTGCAAAGAGTCTCTGATTGGGTTCCCCTTGACCCCAGCGATGACTATAGATCCAGAGGAGGTTTTCTAGAGAAGTGAGTCAAAACAGAACGCACTAATTGGATTGGCTCACCCAGGACATCTAGGGTTCCTCAGGGCTCCCTGGTGGAGGAGGTGATGGCCGTGGACAGGGGCACTGCAGGCTCCCCCGGCCCCTTCAGTCATCAGGGCAGGAAGCGAGGGTCTGGCCGGCCCCGCCCTCTCGGGGAGCTGGGTGCTCAGACCGCCAGTGCCGGGCCGCAGGCGCCCTGGCTGCCCGCACTTGGAGCAGGGCCAGGCAGCAGCTTGGGGAGGCTGCATGCTCAGTTCGCAGTTTTCCTGCCCTTGGGCTGAGCCTCAGCGGTCCTTGGGGGTTCCCTTGGGTGATTTGGGTGGATTTAAAGCACATCAGTTGTGACAGCTGTAATCGCAGCCTTGTTCTTTTGTTCATTTGCGTTATTCCCAGACTTTTGTACATCTGTAATTGAAAAAAAGGGGCCTGATTTATTGGTCTGGGGCTGTAAGGACAAGGTAGAAGTGACCTGCTAGTATCATTAAAACAGATCAGAGAGCCAAGCATGCTGGCACATGCCTGTAATCCCAGCATTCCGGAGGCTGAGGCAGGAGGATTGTTGTGAATTCGAGACCAGCCTGGGCTACAAAGTGAGCTCAAGGCCAGCCTGAGCTGCATAGTGAGACCCTGTCTCAAAAAGACAAAAATCAAAACCAAAACAAAACGAAAAAATAAAAGTCCTGAGCAAGGGAGAAACTGGTTCTGCAGAGCAAGTTTGGACTGAGTACAAGAAGAAAAAGCAAAATAAAAAACACCCTGGAGGACACAGGGCGGGCTATTGCGAGGAAAGCCTCTTCCTTCATATTAAGTACCCGGAACAGATGAGCACACAGAGCCGGAAGGCAGAATGATGGCTGTCAGGGGAGAGGAGGAGGAAACAGGCGGCTGCGGGAGCTCGCGCTCTCTGGGGGTGACGAAGACGCCTTTTCAGGGAGAGGCGGTGGTTTACAGCGCTGCAAACACAGTGAGTGCAGCTGTATGGCACTTTTTGGGGAGCGTTTCTTCAGGGGCAGGGTTTCAGACAAGACCTCACTATGTGGCTCAGACTGACCTCGAACTCATCACGTGGCCTATGCCAGCCTCAGACTTGCTACGATCCTCCGGCCTCAGCCTTCCAAGTTACAGGCTGGGGTTACAGGCCTGTGCCACCCCTGGACTACACACTGATGGGCTGATGGAGACCGGGTCTCACTGTGGAGTTCAGCTCAAACTCGAGCTTGTTGTGTAGCCAGGCTGGCTTTGAATGAACTCACAGTGATCCTCCTGCCTCAGCCTCCTAGGTGTTAGTGCCGCACGCCCGGCTGTGTTAGACATTTTTAAAGTGCTCAGTTCTAGGCTCCATGAATTTTACCTCAGTAAAAACATCTGACACCTGCACCCTTCGGCTCCTAGCCAGTCCCAGGCCTCATTCTTCCCTGGCCCAAAGTCTGGGATTTCTGCTCTGGGACTGTGGAGTAAGAGTCGATTCTTACTTCTGAGCAAAAGAGAACCTTGCAGTTAGGTGGGAGCAAAGCCCAGTATCCAGTCCCGGCCCCGAAACATGCCTCTCTGGATCCCCAGGGACTACTAAGCAGCAGGACCTCCCAAGGTCTCCTCCCTGAGGGGGTGGCACTTGGGTTCCTCTATTTATCAGGTCCCTGTGTACAGAGCCACGGAGGTTCTGGTCCTTAGCTGGCACCAGTCTGGGTCGAAGGAGATGGGAACAGCTCAGGTACACAGACAACAATGTGCACTTTTCAGTTTGGAAGACTTAACCAAGTGGAACTCTTAAATAAAAAACATTTTTTTTTAAGATAGTGTTTTGCTATGTAGCCCATGCTGACCTCAAACTCATGGCAATCCTCCTGCCTCAGCCTCCTGAGTGCTGGAATTAGAGGACACCACCACACCCGGCAATTAAATTTATTTTTTATTTTTTAAATTTAAAAATTTTTTTTTTTCCTGTACCAGGAATCGAACTCATGACCTTGCACTTGCCGGGCAGGCGCTGTGCTGCTGAGCTAAATCCCCAGCCCCTAAATTTAATTTAATAGCATTAAATATGCCTGGGGGAAAGGAGACTATTTCTTCTTCTTTTTTTTAAAATTTTTTTGAGACAGGGTCTTACTATGTAGTTCAGGCTGACCTGGAACTCATGGCAGTGCTCTTGCCTCAGCCTCATGAATGCTGGAATTACAGGCTAGGGCCAACACACCTGGGTCTTTATCTCTTAACAGGGGTACTACACAATTTTAAATGATATATATGGGTTGCATTTGTGGCTGACATAATTTTTTTTTTTTTTTGGTTTTTCTCCGGTACCGGGAACCGAACTCACGACCTTGCGCTTGCCAGGCAGGCGCTTTGCCGCTGAGCTAAATCCCCAGCCCGGCTGACATAATTTTAACAGACGGCGCTGTTGTGGAGCTGGCCTCTGCCTTTTCTCTGTACTGTAAGCACGTGTATGCAAATGTACATTCCTTGAGGATGGAAAACACAGTGCAGCAGGTGTTTTAATGAGGGTGTGAAACATAGAGGAGCTTTTCAAAGTCAAGGAAACCAAAGCCACAGCCACGCAGCCACTGTGTGGCTGTCGGTGTGGCTCTCCCACCCCGTTAGGGTCACAGTCTTGGAAGGCAGGTGCCACCTTGCTTGTTTTACGTCTTTCTAGGGGAGCACTGTGGCCCTGAGCCACGCCCCAGCCCACTCCATGGCTTTCGTAAGCTTGCGCTGTCCTCCCACTGCAATCTGCTGTGGTCGCTCTGCTGCAAGAGACACTGGGATCTGCATTCTGATCCCTAATGTCATTTCAATATCCCAAGGCCCCTATGAGTAGGTGTCGCCACCTGAATCAGCGTACTTGTCTCTGCCTCCACCTACCCCTGGGTCCACCATGTCCTCTCAGGGACCCTGTCTCTGCCCGCTCAGCCGGGTGTGACCCAGGAGCACCGCATGGGCGGCAGCGTGTGGTGTGGTTAAGGATTTGTCTCCAAGTCCAGGCTCAGATGGCAACTCTGTGCTATGAGCTGTGTGACACTGAGCAGAGAAATGCCTCCTCTGCAGAGCAGCCCTGGGGACAGCCCTGTCTCAGAGCTCAAGGGGGAAGAGCAGAGAGGGCAGCGCTGGCCCAGCCGACATGCCCGGGTAGACACTGTCGCACAATCAGGCCCTGGGCTTCTAAGCACCGCTTGGTATATTGTCTGTGGTTTATTTATCTATTTAAAGATCATCCCTATTTTATAAACTCTTGTCTACCAAGTACATGTTCCTGAAACAAAAGTCAGTCAGCAGGACAATATTTAGTCAAACCAAATTTTATGGCTTTGCATGGCTCATGCCTGTAATTCCAGTAGTCAAGAGGCTGAGGCAGGAGGATCATTGTGAGTCTGAGGCCAGCCTGGGCTACAAAGTGAGTCCAAGGCAGCCTGAACTGCACTGCGAGACCCTGTCTCAAAAAGAAAGAAAGAAAGAAAGAAAAGCCAAAATAAAACAAAACAAATTTTATGGTTTTATCATAGATTGGAGATGTTTTTCTTTTGAATGCAGAGCCTTGTGTGTGCTTGGCAAGTGTTATCACTGAGCTGCATCCTCGGACCATTGATTTACTTAGCCACGTAGGACTGAACCCCAGGCCTTTGGGCCGAGCAACATCCCTTTTATTTATTACCAAGCTGGTAGGTTGCCCAGGCTGGCCTCGAACTTGGCAATCCGGGGTCTCAGCCTCTGGAGTAGCTCGGAGTACAGGCGTGCGCCACTGCACCCAGTGAAAGGCTTTTTCTTTATAAATTAACATATGCTAATTGTACATATTTATAGGTCCGGTGAGGTAATTTGATAAGTGTGTACAATACATAATGATGAAATCAGACTAGTCAGCATTTCCGGCTCCTTGAACATCTGGGCTTTGTGTTGGGAAGTTTCATGGAAAAATCCTTAAAAATCACTCAGTAGTGCAGAGAGTGTAGCTTAATGGTAGAGGATGTGCTCAGACGCACAAGGGCCAGAGTGTGATTCCCAGCATGAGGAGGAGAAGGAGGAAGGGGAGAGAGAGAAGGTCATAATGTCAATGGACAACGAGTGGATGAACAAACTGGTCCATCCGTGCAAGGGGATATTATTCAACCATGAAAAGAAACAAGTACAGGCACATGGTACAACAGGTAGAGCCTTGAGAACATTATGAGCCGGACATGGTGGCACACGCCTGTAATCCCAGCACTCGGGAGGCTAAGGCAGGAGGATGGCCACAAGTTTGAGGCCAGCCTGGGCTGCCTAGTGAGACTCTGCTTGAAAAAAGTACAAACAAAGAAGTCCCAAACGGACAAATAAACAAAGTAAAAGACTCCAGACACAAAAGGTCACATGCTGCAGCCGGTTGCCGTGGTGCACAGCTGTAGCCCCGGCCCTGGGGTAGCGCAAGGCAGGAGGACAGCAAGCCCAAGCCCAGCCCAGGCAATTTAGCAACTTAGGGAGACCCTGCCTCAAAATAAAAAATAAAAAATGGGCCAAGGAGTAGCTCAATGGTGAAAAAAAAGTCACATATTATACGATTATATGATTCCCTCTATGCAAAATACTTACAGGTAGGTAAATCCACAGAGACGACTCAGATCAGGACCTCTGGCAGGGAGATGAGGAGCAGCGGTGTGCTGGGGACGGGCTTCTCGTGGGTGACGACAGCGTTTTAAAACTAGCTGGAGGCTGTGGGCACACAGCATTGTGAATATACCAGACGAAGTGTTCACTTAAAAATGCTTGATTTCACATTATGTGAATCTTCCCTCCATAAAAAGAATTCTTTGGGGTTTTGATCTTTGGCAGATATTCATGATGTGTGGAAAAGCATGACACACACGGTATGAGCTCAGCTACACGTGTCACCCATGTTGTGTATGTACACATGGGACCTAGAAGGACACGTCCAGCTAAGCTGCTTATGACTTTGTTCTTTGCTTCTTGTGTTTTTGTTTCCTGTAATGCACATATTAACTTTAAAAAATAAGCTGGGCGTAGTGGTGCACGCCTGTAATCCCAGCACTCGGGAGGCTGAGGCAGGAGGATCGTTGTGAGTTCAAGATCAGCCTGAGCTACAAAGTGAGCTCAAGGCCAGCCTGAACTGCGTAGTGAGACCCTGTCTCAAAAAGACAAAAAACAAAAAAAACAAAAAAAAACAACTTTAATAAAGATTATTTTTAAAACTCAAAAAGAAGAAAAAAGTCCATAGACCTCTCCCTTCTCCTTGTTGATGACCTCAGTTAGAAAGCACCAATCCTTTCAGATTACGAAGGGGAAGCCAAGGCCGGGAACGGCATGGCTGTAGTCAGGGTTTGCAGGGGAAGAGATTTAATACAGGACACATAATTTATAGGATTATTTTATAACAGTCACCCAAAGAGTCAAATGCAAAAGAGTGCAGGAGATCTGTCCACACACTAGAGACCCAAAGAATCCAGCTGAGGGCCTGTGTCCCATTGCAATGTCCTGCACAAGTCCAGCTGAAGACCTAGAGCCCACAACAATGTCTCGTGCAGGTCTGTACCAAGGATCTGCGCTAGGAAGGCCCAAAGGTCAGCAGCGGAAGCTAGAAAGTCTGCACCAGCGGGATGAAGGATCTGTGCTAGCAGGCTGAGGGATCTGCACTGGAGCCAGGAAGTGACACTCAAAGCAAGACCCAGAGCTGCCCCCAAAAGAACCACAGCCGTCCTCAGCGACAGTGAGCTCCCGAGCTCCTCTGATGGTGAGAACAGCCGGGTTCATATCAGGAAAACCAGCGTGACAAGCTGCTCCAGGATACTGGCAGTGTACCATCTTCCCCTCCAGTTCTTTTTATGCTGCTGCTGACGATCCTCAGTCGGGCTCTCCACACCCAGCACCGTGCTGACTCAGTTCAGCTGGGCGTCCCAAGCTGACCATTAGTTAACCCACCTGCAACCTGGAAGTGACTGTAGAATCAAAACTTGAAGGCGAATAGTAGCTGATAAATCTAGGAAGGAAAGGAAAAGTGTTTCAGGCAGAGGGAACAGCGTATGCAAAGGCCTTGCATGGAGAAGGGCTGAAGGGGGCAGTCGTGTGCAGTGCGGAGCTGGGGGAGTATGGTGTGAGATGCAGCTGGAGGTGGGTAGGGACTCGAGAGATTGTGGAGTTCGTTCCCTTTTTGGACACATCACAGCTGTCATATTGTGGAGTGTAATGTGATATCACATACAATAAATAATAAGCAAATGTGATTTTACATGTGTAAATATACATGATGTGTCGTGAGCAGGTCAGGGTAACTGCCATAGCTCTCACTTCACACGTTTATCCTTTATGTTGGAAATATTCAAAGTCGTCTATTTTGAAATATGCAATTATTGTTGTCAGCCAGTCATCCTACAATGCACACAAGGTTGGAAGCTGTTCCTCCGCCCCGCTGCTCTCCACGCCCCTAACCATCTGCTCCACCCCTTCCCAGGCTCCGGGCACCACTGCTCTGCTCCACGTGGCTCTGAGATCACTATTTCAGTTTCCACAAATAAGTGAGAACATCCGGTACTTACCTTTCTGTGCTGAGTTATTTCCCCCAGGTCCATTCCTGTTGCTACAGATAGCAAGATTTCATTCTTTTTCATGGCTAGGTAATATTCCATGGTGTTTATATACATTTTTTCATCCTCTTTGCACAGGTGGACCCTGGGTGATTCCACATCTTGGCTATTGTAAATAGTGTTGAATGACAATCCACGGGAAGGGGATCTCTCTGACACACTAACTTCTTTTTCCTTCAATAGACATTCTGTAGTGGGATTTCTGGATTTGAAGGAGGCTCTATTTCTAGTTTTTTGAGGAATCTTTGTACTGTTTTCCACAGTGGCCGCCCTAGCTTGCATCCCCTCCACCGGTGCATGCCCCCCTTTGGGCATTACGGCTGTTCCGGCTCGGGTGAGAGAGCGCACTGTGGTTTGATTTGCATTTCCCTGATAGTTGCTGATGATAAACATTGGTCCACACATTTGTTGACCATATCTGCCCACTTCCTTTTGAGAACCGTCTACTCAAATCACTTGCCCACTTTTAAATTTAATTATTTGCGCTCCTTATGTATTCTGGGTACTAACCCCCGTCTGATGAGCGCTTTGCAGATCTCTCTCTCCTGTCTGCAGGTTGTCTCCTCACTCTGTTGTTTCCTGTGCTGGGCAGAAGCTTTTTGGTTAAATAGGAATTTTTCAAGTTTTGCTTTTGTTGCCTGTGCTTTTGGGGTCATGGCCGCAAACTCTCTGCCCAGGCCGTGGGGAGTGAAGCATTTCCCCTACGTTCTAGTGATTTCATAGTCTGAGGTCTGACGTTTAAGTCTCTGTTCCACGTGGAGTTGACTTTTATATATGGTGAGAGATAGGGGTCTAGTCTCACCTTTTGCGTGTGAATATCTGGTCTTCCGAGCACCATTTCTGAAGAGATTGTCTTTTCTCCGGTGTGTGTTCTTAGCTGGCTGTAAGTACATCGATGAATTGTTGGGTTTTCTATTCTAGTGCATTGGCATGTGCCTCTGTTTCTATGCTTATATCGTGAGGTTTGGGTTACTATGGTTTTATAATATGTTTTAAAATCAGGTGTTGTGACCCCTTTAGCTTGTTTGTTCAGGGTTTTTTGGCTATTTGAAGTCTTTGGTGGTTAAATAGGAATTTTGGGAATCTTTTTCTATTTCTGTGACGACTGCTGTTGGTACTTTTATAGAGAGTGCATTAAATCTGTAAGTCACATTGGGAAATATGGACAGTTTAACAATGTCTATGAACATGGGATACCTTTCATTTTTTTAATCTGTTGTCTTCAATTGCCGTGTTTTACAATTTTTATTGTTGAGGTTTTTTTAATCTCTTTGGTTAAATTTATTCCTAGGCATTTTATTTATTATAACTATTATAAATGGGATTGCTTACTTGATTTCTCTTTCAAATAGTTGTTGATATAAAGAAACAGTACCAATTTTTTTTGGTGATCCTCTGTCCTGCAACTTTACTGAAGCTATTAATCAGTACTAAAAGTTTTTTTTAGTACAGTCTAGGTTTTTCTGTACATATGGTCATTTCATCTGCAAATAGCTTGATTTCCTTCTTTCTGATCTGGTTGCCTTTTATTTTTTTCTCTTGTCAAATTGTTGTGACTGAGACTTCTTATAGGTTTGGTTTTGTAGAAGAGAAATAGGGCCAGGCATGGTGGTACATGCTTGTGAGCCCCACACTTGGGAGGCTGAGGCAGGAGGATCAGCATGAGTTTGAGGTCAGCCTGGGTTACAAAGCGAGTTTAAGGCCAGCCTGAACTACAAAGTGAGACCCTGTCTCAAAAAAACAAAAACAAAAGACAGAAATAGATATCTTTGAAAGCTTTTCTCAGAGAAATTCACCTCTATCAGATCTGTATTGAGAAATGTCTACGTTAGTTAAATGCAGGTCAGGTAGGATGTATAGAGGGCATTTCAGAGGTTTAGTTTTTCTTTCTTTCATTAAAATGATCTTTTAAAAGAAATTGGACAAATTGATCACAGTATTATAGTTTTGCTTTTTGTTTGCTTTGCCGTATACTAATTATTATTTGTCCCAGTCTTTTAAAAAAAAAAAGGTGGTTAAAAAAACATATAACATAAAATTTACCATCTTATCTATTTTTTTGTTTGTTTGTTTTTCGTGGCAGGGTCTCACTTTGTCATTCAGGCTGAACTCACTATGCAGCCCGGGCTGGCCTCAAACTCATGGTGATCCTCCTGCCTCAGCCTCCCAAGTGCTGGGATTACAGGTGTGTGCCACCACGCCTGGCATCTTATCTATTTTTAAGTGCACAGCTCAGTGGTGTGAAATCTGTTTATGTTGTTGTGCAGTTGATCCTGGAACGTTTTCATCTCGCAGAATTGAAACTCTGCGCTCATTGAGCAATAACCCCCTTCCTTCTGCCCCAGCCCCGGCAACCACCGTTCCACACCTTACCTTATGAGCCAGACACTCGGGGCCTTCGTGTGAGCAGAAGAGTGCAGCGTTTGTCCTTTTCTGGCTGGCGAATTTCTCCTAGTACGGTGTCCTTCGGTTCATCCATGTTATAGCATGTGACAGGCCACGTGACAGCACATGCGACAGCACATGCAATGGGACATGAGACAGGACATGTGACAGGACATGTGAAGGCCAGGCCACAGGACGTCCAGGAGGCTTTTGGAGTAGTCCCAGTAGAGCCGGGGGCTGGAACGAGGGCCGAGTGAGAGAGGACAGGCCGGTGGACCAGGATCCCGGGGAGGCAGAGTCCCAGGACAGCGGGGGCTGTGCAGAGGGCCGGGGCAGGGCCGGGGGAGATAAGCTCCTGCCTCTGGCCGGGCTGCGCAAAGGGACGCGGACAGACCGGCGCACCCACACTGTGGCCTCCTTGGGAGGGTGGCCCGGGAGGCACAGGGGCTGAGCCGGGGTCAGAGAGACTGGAAGAACTCTGGCTTTAGCCCGGAGCCTCGGACAGAGCAGGCCAGAGGGATGCGCAGCCCTGTGGCCTCTTCGGGCCTCTGCTGGTGCCTTCTGGCCGCAGGGTGGGCTTTGCGGCTTCCCGGACAAGAGGCAGGAGGAGCAGGAGGAGCGGTGTGGTTTTGTGCTCTGTCTCTGTGAAGTGGGTGGGGACCCCAGGCCACACGGCTGTGTCTGCTTTCTCTCCTTCTCTTTAAAATTGTACAGCTAGGGCCGGGGAATTAGCTCAGCGGCACAGCGCCTGCCTGGCAAGTGGGAGGTCGTGTGTTCGATTCTCGGTACCGGAAAAAAAACAACAAACAAACAAAAACAAAAATTGTGCAGCTTCTCCCACCTAGCGTCCGCCCTGCTCCTGTCTGCCCAGGAGGCAGGTGATTCTCCGGGGAGGGAGAAATCCCTGCCCCGACAGCCTCAGCCACACCGGAAGCAGCTTCTGGGAGACATTCCCAGGGAGCAGAGCAGAGTGTCCGCTGAAGGCAGTGCTGGCCGGAGCCCAGCCTCAGGGGCTCCGGGCCGTGTCCAGGGAACACGGGTGGCACTGAATCCCAAAAGCGGGTTTTTGTTCCACTTGGGGTTGTCAGAAAAGGCTGCATAGAAGATATTTTCTTGAAACATATCTTGGAAGATTTTTAAAAAATCAGTTTGTAGGAAGGAAAGGGGGGTGGTGCAGATAAGGGGTCCCTCGCAGCACATAGGCGGTGTGGGTATCCGCTCGCGGCAGCAGGACCTGACTGCTCAGGGATAGGCTTTGGCTTTCCTCTGTCTGCCACGGAAGTCCTGGGGTGGAGGTGAGGAACTCGGGCAGGGAAGCCGGTGTGATGAGCTTTAAGCAGCGCCACACGGTGGGCGGGGTGTGGCGCGGTGGTGGGGCACTCGCTCGTGTGCAGGAGGCCCTGGGTCTGACCCCCAGCACTTCCGTGTACGCTCAGTGCTGTCACTGGGGCCGCGTCAGTGTGGATGTACGTGATATCCACAGACGCCCTCCTCTAGCCACTGTGCTGGCCAGCCCTCAGCGGGTCAAGGACAGGGCTGCGGGGGGCCACGGGGGAGGAATGGCCAAGCTGGCTGCGGAAGCGACGAAGGCAGTGGTGAGGGTGCAGCCGCAGCGGGCTCTGAGGCCTTGCTACTGTGCACCGAGCTGTGGACTCAGCCTGCCTCAGCCTCCTTCTGCGGACAGGAGCACCTGCCTCTGTGGCCGAGCCTGTGTGAGGGTCCTCCGTGCTCTGCCTCGTGCCGGCCCTGCCCGTTGGTGTCAACAGGCGGCTGATTCCTCTGCCCCTCTCCTGGCTGTGTCTGGGCTGGGGCTGGGGGCACCCTGGCCTTTCCTCACGGGGCTGGAACTGGCTTTGAAGCCCGCCTGGCTCCTCGGGGGGAGCAGTGCCCACCGGAGGGGGTGAGGTGACGTCTTTGGAAGGGCAGGCGGTGGCTCGGGCACCTTTTATTTTTGAGCTGACGGCTGAGTCTTCCCGCGGAGACGCGTTCTGCGCAGAGCTGAGCCTCCCCCTGTCACACAGGATGTGCGAGCCCCCGGGAGGGTTCAGGGCGGATGCAGCAAGGCTGTCAGCGCCTGCCCCGCCCCAGCCGTGCCACCAAAAATAGAAGGGCCACGGTGTCAGCCCCAGGGACGGCGGGCGGGGAAGCCTTTGAAGCAAGACCGGCCTGGGAGGGCCGGCAGGGAAGCAGGGCGGTTAGTATGCAGGGGCGGCAGGCGGCAGTTGTCGCTGGGTTTTCTGTCTCCGCAGCAGGCACACCGGGCAGACGTCACCAACCTAGGCTGGCTCAGAGCCTGCTGTGCGACCTGAACGGCTCACCTCCCCAGCGGGCCTCAGCGGCCTCCTCCCTAACAGGGGAGCTCCAGGGGCCTTCCCGGCGCAGCACCCCAGGGGCCCCCTCAGGGCTTAGCCTTGACCCCCAGCCCCGCCCACAGAGGTGCTTGGGACTGGAGCTGAGTGTCTGAAAGGCTGCAGGGTGCAGGGCACACAGGAGAGCGGTGTGTCTGCCCAGCACCCTCCTGGGGAGCTTCCTGAGGGCGGGGAGAGGCCGTGGGCACAAGGACAGCGTGTGTGTGCGCGTGCGTGTGTGTGTGCGCGTGTGTGTGTGTGTGTGTGTGTGTGTGTGAGAGAGAGAGAGAGAGAGAGAGAGAGAGAGAGAGAGTGTAGCAGCAGGGTGACATTGGAGATGTGTGACAATCAGGGCTGCCCAGCATGGACTGAGGCTTTTGGGGGAGGGGCTGCTTTGCCAGCTACTAACCCTTCACCCTGGGGCGGGGCTGGAGAGGGTTAGGGAAGCAGGAAGGGAAACACTGGGAGGGCTGGGGCAGGACAGGCCTGTGCGTTAGTTGGCATGGGAGTGCGTCGCCATGTGACAACCTGTGCGGCTGTGCGGTGACCCGCTGTCCATCAGCCTGCTGTGCGGAGGGAGGGAGGGAGCCGAGGAGGCTGCCGGGGTGCTGGCGCAGGCTCCCCTCACTTCGGCCAGTGGAAGATTCCTTCCGCTCAGAGGGGCGAGTCAGGGTCTCACCCTCCACCCCGGCCCTGGCGGCCGCCCGTTCATCCCCGGGGCTCGGGCACAGCAAGGGGGGCTTCCCTCCCACACTCCCTTTCGCACGGCACCCCAGACCCGGGCCTGCCCAGGGCGGGAGCCTGCCCACAGCTGCCAACCGCGGGCCAGCGGGCCGCAGCCCTGGGTCTGCTGTGACCGCCTTCCTCAGCCTTTCGCTACCCAGCACGGGGTGCTGTGTGGCACCCCCTCCCCGCCCAGGCCCCGCTCTCCTCGGTGAGGTTTCCCACCAGTCCCTCCGGGCCTGTGGAGGACAGGCTGAGGCGAGGTTGGGAGGGCGGCGAAGGCGAGTGCAATTTAAGGGGCAGACCCCGGACTCTCGGTGCAGGGCCCGGCCCTGCCGGCTGCCCCAACTTCCCTGTGCAGCAATTCTGGTTTCTATTTTAAAGTTTGGGTTGGTTGCTTCCCTGCCTTCCTGCTGGGGGTTTAGAGTGAGGAAAATAATTGGTAATATTTGCACAGATGTGCTGGTACTGCAGCTCATCACAGGCACCTTTACCCAGGGGACCCTCCCCGCCCCGGCCTCCCTCTGCCAGCCTCAGAACCAGCCGGAAGGGGAGGGACCGCAGCCCCCCAGCCTCCCAGGAGCCTCAGGCGGGAGACGCAGGCAGAGCTGGGAAGCCAGAGGCCTAAACGCCCCAGGCTCGCCAGAGGCAGGCTTCATCCAGAAGGGGAAGTGTCAGCCCCTGCTCCAAGGTCTGAAAGGACGACCGGGAGGGTCGGGGGAGCCCCCAGGCTTTTTGTGCATTCCATTTTTTTCCTGTAAAGCCTGAATTTGCAGCTGAGGGTAGGTATGGGGGTGAAAGGGGCTGGACAGGACTAGGACCGAAAATAGTAACTCAAGCTGGTGAGGTGGCACATACCTATGCTCTCAGCTACTCAGGAGGCTGAGACAGGAGGATCACTTAAGCCCAAGAATTTGAGACCGGCTTGGGCAACCTAGTAAGAACCCATCGCAAAAAAAAAAAATCGTTTGACTTCTCTTCCTCTTCCTAAGCCTGGAACAGCACGCTGGAGGAAGGAGGAGGGAGCGGTCTGGGCTGGGGGGCACCTTCTTACCCAAGCACGGCCTGCGTGAGGGGCCCTGTAGCCCAGGGCCCATTCCAGTGCCCCGAGCCAGCCTGGTGACAGGGTGGGCAGGCCTCCGTCACCCTCCCCAGGCAGGCGTGGGCCGTGCCTGGGCGTGAGGTGTGCGTGGTGCCGTGGGTGTGCCTGCGTGTGCCTGTGCAAGTGTGCGCAGGTATATGGCACCCACACGTGTGCGCATGAATGTGCAAGTGTGCGCTAGGGTGTGGGTTCCCCAGAAGCCGGCTGTGTGGCAAGGGCTCAGCTGCAGGGAGCTCACTGGGGAGAGGCCCCAGGGCTGGGGAAGGTGCGGAGAGGAGGCAGCGGGGCGGGCCAGGCTGCCCTGCGGGCTGCGCCGTGGGCGCTGACATTCACTCCGCCGGGGGCCCGGGGGGGCCGGTGTGGAGCACGCAGTCCTCTCCCACCCGAGGGCCGAGGCACGGAGCTCTTCTTCCACCGACTCCGTCCGTGGTTGGCTGAAGCCTGCATGGCCTTCCCAGTATCTGCAGTCGTTCTGCCCACTGCCGGTGTCACTGTCGGTGCGCGGGAGGGCAGAGGGCACGAGGGCGACACTGGCTCGTCTGTGCTGCTGGGCGGTGGGGTGGCACCCACGGCCCTTCAGGGAAAAGGGACAGCCCTCCAGGCCCTGCGGCGGCCCTCAGCGTAGGGTCCTTTGGGGCCCCCTTTCTGGGTGGCCCATATCCAGTGACGGATCTTTCACCCCGCCTGGGGTCAGCCCTGAAGGCCATCCTGGCACTCAAGACGGCACAACAGCCGGACTCCCTCTGCCCAGACCTGCCTTCCCCTTTGCACATGCATCCTGAGTGCTCGTCTCTGTCCCGAGGCCCCTACCCACGCAGTGTGTGCCGTGCCTACGGAGCGCGGGGTGTGCCCAGCCCACCTCCCAGAGCCTCCCATGCCCAGTGACCTGAGGCCAGGTTAGCCCCTCTCCTAGCCCAGGGTCACCCTGGCTCACAGCCTTTCCTCCCTGACCTCCAAGGCTCTTGGCCGAGGAGGGAGTTTTTCCTCCAGGCACGCATCCTGCTTCGTCCTGCATACAGTCAAGTGCAAGCCATCAGCCCCGCCCGGGTGACTCTAAGCCGAGGAGCCCGAGGCGGCGAGGGCCCTGGACTCCTCCTGCTGAGGCCCGGGCGAGCCTGTCCTCTCCAGAGGCTGCTGCGGCCAGGGGCAATAGACCCGTGATGGAACTCAGCCCTGGGGAACAGGTTCCACAGCGGGAGCCGGGCACAGGTGGGCAGGCCGGGGCAGCAGGAGGCACAGAGGGCACCGCGTGTTACAGAAAAGTGTATTACCAGGATAGATAAATACAACAAGGGCATTAAAAGTGCCGGTGATGCAGTGGGGGGAGGGCGGGCAGTGCTGGAGGTGGGGAGGGCACGGGACGAGGCGTGGCCAGTGGCGGGGCATGGAGCCATCTGGGAGGGTACGGGAATGCCCAGGTCCCCCAGTCATGCACGATGGGGTCTTGTAGCCTGGGCCCCCGAAGGGCCCTCCTGCCCGGTGCTGCCGGCCTGACGCCTCTGAAGTTCTGGCCTGGAGGCCGTGGAGTAGCGGGCAGACCTGAGGGGCGGAGCTCCAGCGCTCCTCAGGGGCCACGCCTCCCCAGCATTCAGAGAAGAGAAACATTACTGGTCTTTGAGGCACGGGCTCGCCTGATGCTCTGCCCACCAACACAAGAAGGTGTGCGGAAACAATCCCCTCATGGGGTCTACTCGTTCTAGGCTTTGATCAGGGACACCTTCTGTAGGGGGCAGCCCGTCTGCCTGTGTCCCCCCTCACTTACCCTCACTCCTCGGGGACTCTTTCACTGCCTTTCCCAGGGCCCGGACCGAGGGCCCTGCCCTGCGTGCTGGGGGCTGCTGTCACTCTCTGTCTCCTGGGGCGCCAGCTTAGGGCTCCCAGGCAGGGCCCGGAAAGAATATGGGGTGGCGCAGGGGCAGAGTGGGGAGGCCCAGGCGGCCCAGCAGTCTTCAGGGCCCGCTGGCCCCCGGCCTCCCCTCTGCCCTTTGTTCCTACCCAAGGGCATCCAGCAGCCTGCCCGCCTCAGTGCAGGGGCCACACGCTGGCACTCCACTTCTCGGCCCAAACCTAGGGTCTCACCTGCCCACTGGAGACAAGCAGCCCCTAGAATCAGAAGGAGCGGGAGTGCCTGTGTCTCCACGTGCCGCCCTCCTGACCGGCTGGACTTGGGCACCTTGGGCACCAGGGGTCAGAGGGTTAAGGTGAGCCGTTCAGGCTGCCCCCGTTGAAGACCCCTGTGGGTGACTGGGCTGGGGCAAATCCCCTGTCCCTGGCACCCCTCTCCTGCCCTGGCACCCTGGAGCCTCCTGCGGTTTCTCTGGGGCGAAAGTGGGTAGCAGGCTGCTGACAGGGTGGGCGGGAGAGCCTGAGGAACGGCGGGACAGGCTGGGCCAGGCCCTGTGGGGCGGCCTGGTGGGCGGCCCTGTCTGCTGCTCCCTGGTGGCCTGGGCTGGAAGTGGGGCCCCTGGTCTGCTCTGGTGAGAAGAAGGGAAGGTCGGTCTCTGCAGGGTGCAGACCGGGAACCCCCACAAGCCACCCCCCGGGTTTTCTCTGAGGCCCAGCACTCTGCATGGATCTGCAGCCCTGAGCCCCACCGCTTCCTCAGGGGGGCCGGGGAATCGAGATGCTGGCCCTACTGGTGGGCGCTAGCCGTGGCCGTTCTGGGACATGTAAGCTGCTAGAGCCACTACCACGGCCACGTAGAGACCGGCCCCCACGGCGATGGCGAGCGTGGCCAGGAAGAGGGCCCGGCGGGAGGTGGAGCTGGCCAGGCGGAAGTCCCCTTTGGAGATGGCCTTGCTGGTCTAGGGAGAGAGTCGGCTGTTAGAGGGAGCAGCTCCGCGCCCAGCAAGGTGGCCCAGCCCAGCAGGCCCCCGGCCCGCTCCACGGCCCGCGAGCCAGGCCCCCAGCGCGCTTACCCCCTGGGAGAAGTAGAAGGCAGCGATGCCCAGCGGCCAGAAGCAGCACAGCATGGAGAACAGGGTGAGCCCCAGGTGGTCCCGGGGGGGCAGCGTGCGGAAGCTGTCCTCACTTTCGCTCTCTGTGGAGGTCGCGTCAGTCTGCAAAACAGCGCCAGACGGCCACGCCCCGTCACCCTGCCCTGTCGCGCCGGCAGGGATGTTTATTTTTATTTATTTATTTTTTTTGGTCTTTTTGAGACGGGGTCTCGCTATGCTGTTCAGGCTGGCCTTGAGCTCACTTTGTAGCCCAGGCTGGTCTCGAACTTGCAAGGATCCTCCTGCCTCAGCCTCCCGAGTGCTGGGATTACAGGCAGGTGCCACCACGCCCGGCGAGCAGGGATTGTTAAAAAAGGTAAAACTCGTACCCAGGGGGCATTACTATGGGACAGTAGACTGTGTCCTCTGCAGTTGGTGGCAGAGGGGTTCGGTCTCACCGCTTTCTGCAGAAAGCCTTCATTTATAGGGACTGAAGATTCTGCTTTTAGGACTGTATCACCGGGGAAGTTCACCACAGCGCAGCGCTTGTGAGAGATCGGAACACTCTCAACGCCCATTGGCCAGGAGGTTGAGTTAATAAAGGCTGGGAAAACCCATAATGGAAGACCATTTAAAAAATCACCTTGTAGAAAATATTAAATTTCATGGAGCAGTACTGAAATATCAGATCATAAAACTACGTCCAGCAAGATCTTTCTGAGAGAGAGGGAGCCAAGTAGGTAAATGGAAAACGCCTTCGACGATCACCCACCCATATAACAATGCCATCTTTCCGCGGGACTGAAAGTCCCCCCAGCCAGTGCTTCGCAAAGCGAGGGATGCGCTGGGGCCGGACAAAGCGGATTCCTGGGCCTCGGTCTGGCCTGCTAAATCTCAGTGTCTGATGAGGGTCTCTGGGAATCGGCATTTTCAGCACATGTGCTCACCTCCTCCTCCTCATCGTCCTCCTGGCTCTGCAGCTCCTCCTGAACCCCAGAGGACACGGTCTGGATGGCGACGTCCTCCTCAGCCTGGCTGGCTTCTGGGCACTGCTCTGTGGGTCCTGCCGGGGGCTCCTTGGCCTCCGTGAAGCTGGTCTCACAGCTTGCTGCTCTGGGGTCCTTGACCTTGTCCCTCCCCAGTAGGCAGCTGGGCCGATACCAGGCCTCCATGGCCAGCTGCAAGGACCCTGGGTCCAGGAGCTGGTGGGCGCGAGCAGGGTCAGCACTGCCCAGGAGGTAGGAGTAGAGCTTCTCCTGGCAGGACCAGCTGGGTGGGGCCTCAGGGTAGGAATAGGGACCGTGGAGGGGGCCGGGGCTCCGGGGCAGCAGCGGGTTCTGTAGTTCACTCAGGCTCTCCATGTTCTGGGGACAGCTGCTGAGGAGGGGAGTCTGGGCCAGCTGAGCAGTTCTCACCGAACCTGTCAGGAAAGCAAGACAGACAGACTGAGGTTGGGACACCAGGTCAGAAGCAGAAAGGGTTAAGAGCCAGGCGTGGTGGTGCACACCTGTAATCCCAGCACTCGGGAGGCTGAGGCAGGAGGATCGCCATGAGCTTGAGGCCAGCCTGAGTTATATAGCGAGGTCAAGGCCAGCCTGAACTGCATAATGAGATCCTGCTTCAAAGAAACAAAATCAGAATTATAAAAAAGAAGAAGGGGCTAAGAATGCAGGCTCTGCAGTCTGACTTGGCTCAAACCCTGCTTTGCCATTTGCCAGTCTCGGGACCTTACTAGCTGCTTCTCCGAGCTCAGTTTCTTTGTCGCTGAGGCGGAGGTAGTGGTGCTGCTCACCTCTGAGAGTGGTTCCCTCATTTACCCCCTCAACACATCTACGTGGAGCCTCAGTGCTTGGCATAGGCAGTGAGAAAGGTGGGGAGCGGGGGAGAGGGCAAGGACTTCTCCTGTCTTGATGGAGCTTTCGGTTGGGTACAGAAGATAATTGAAACATAACAACCCTGGTGAAGACGTACAGCAGGTGTGTGCAGGACATACAGTGGACAGAGCTGACCCCAAATGCAGGACGGCCTTGTAGCTGAGCTCTCAGGGGGAGCAAAATGAGCAAGCCAAAGGGGGTTGTGCTGTAGCTTGGGTCCAGCGTGTTCCCCAAAGCTCACGTGTTAAGGCTTGGCCTTTGGAAGGGGTGGCGTCTACTGAGACGTTCAGACCGCTTGGTCGCCGGGGGCCGTGCCCTTGG